TTTTAAATCTCTGCTCAATTAAAGAAGGAGCATTGTCTTTGTAGTTTATTTGTCCGTTCCTCAATGTAGCAGAGTACATACCACATGGTTGCCACTCAGTTTCCTCAGCTTGCAAAAATGAATGAGTCAAAATCAATTGTTTTCCTATATACTAATAATGAATAATTGGAAATTGAAATTAAAATATGTTATAATGGTATCAAAAATTATATATGTGCAAGGTTTGTACTCTGGAAATTGTGAAACACGAATGAAATACATTAAAGATGATCAAAATAAATGTAGAGATACACCATTTTCATGGACTGGAAGGCTCAATATTATTAAGATGTCAGTTCTCCCAAATTTATCTTTACTTTCGCTACAATCCCCAATCAAAATCTCATTATGTACTTTTGTAGAAATTGGCAAGTGGATTCTAAAAAAAAATTATGTGTGTAACTAAAGGACCTAGAAGAATCAAACCAATTTTGAAAAAGAGGAACAATGGTACAAGACTCACACTATATTGTTTCAAGGCCTAATGTGAAGCAACATTAATCAAAATAGCATGGTATTGGTGTAAGGATAGACATTTGGATAAATGGTACAGTATAGCATCCAGAAATAGTCCTACACAATTTGGTCAGTAGATTTTCAAATAAGGTGCCAAAGAAATTCAATAGAGAATTTGAAACAAATGGTATTAGAACAATTAGGCACCCATATGCCAAAAACAAAAACACTTCAGTTTTATTTCTCACCATATGCAGAAGATAACTTAAAATTCATAATAGATATAAATATAAAACCTTAGCTTATGAAACTTCTAGAAGAAAACAACAGAGAGTACTTCTGATCTTGGTTAAATAAAGATTTCATTGATAGGATTTGTATGGATAGGAAATAATGACTATAAAAATGTTATAAACTTTAAAGAAACAAATTGATAAATTGTAATTCACCCAAATTAAAAACAAATCTGTTATTTGAAAGACACTGTAAGAAAATGAGAAAAGCACAGATTCTGAGGAAATGTTTTTAATACATACTTGATTCAGGCTTTTATCAAGGATATAGATATATTTAATGTATATATGTATAGCTTCCACCACTCATCTGTCAGTTTCCTGTACTATGGTAGCTTGCGTGTTGGTGTGATGCTGAAAGCTATGCCACCTCTATTTCAAACACCAGCAGAGTCACCCATGGTGAAGAGGTTTCAGCGGACCTTACAGATTAAGACAGACTAGGACGAAGGACCTGGCGATCTACTTCTAAAAAAAACTGTCCAGTGAAAACCTTATGAGTAGCAGTTGAACATTGTCTGACATAGTGTGGGAAGATGAACCCCTCAGGTTGGAAGGCGTTTAAAATACGACTGGTGAAGAGCTGCTTCCTCCAAGTACAGTCAACCTTGCTCATGTGGAATGACTAAAAATGAGAAGAAACAGCTGCAAATATTCATTAATAACTGGAACATGGAATATACAAAATATGAAACTAGGAATACTGGAAGTCATCAAAATTGAAACAGAACGTATAAAGATTGATATCTGAGGCATAAGTGAGCTGAAATGGACTGGTTTTGGCCATTTTGAACTGGACAATCACATGGTCTACTATGTCAAAAATGACAAATTGAAGAGGAATGGCATTGCATTCATTGTCAAAATGAACATTTCAAGATCTATCCTGAAGTACAGCACCATCAGGAATAAGATAATATCCACATACCTACAAGGAAGACAAGTTAATATGACTATTGTTCAAATTTATGCACCAACTGCTAATGCCAAAGATGAAAAAATTGAAGATTTTTACTATCTTCTGCAGTCTGAAATTGATCATACATGCAATCAAGATGCATTGATAATTACTGGTGATTGGAATATGAAAGTTGGAAACAAAGAAGGATCGGTAGTTAGAAAATATGGCCTTGGTGATAAAAACAAAGCCAGAGATCGCATGGTAGAATTTTGCAAGACCAACAACTTCATTATCGCAAATACCTTTTTCAGCAACATAAACAGCAACTATACGCATGCACGTTGCCAGATGGAATACACAGGAATCAAGTCGACTACATCTGTGGAAAAAGATGATGGAAAAGCTCAATATCCAGTGAGAACATGGCCAGGGGTTGATTGCAGAACAGACCATGAATTGCTCTTATGCAAGTTAAAGTTGCAGCTGAAGAAAATTAAAACAAGTCCATGGGAGCCAAAGAGTGACCTTGAGTATATTCCACCTGAATTTAGAGACTATCTCAAAAATAGATTTGATGCACTGAACACTAACGACCAAAGACCAGATGAATTGTGGGATGACATCAAGGACATCATACATGAAGAAAGCAAAAGGTCATTTGAAAGACAGGAAAGAAAGAAAAGACCAAAATGGATGTCAGAAGAGCTGAAACTTGCTTTTGAATGTAGAGTTGCTAAAGCGAATGGAAGAAATGATGAAGAGCTTAACTGAAGATTTCAAAGGGCAGCTTGAGAAGAAAAGGAAAGTATTTTAATGAAATGTGCAAAGACCTGGAGTTAGGAAACCAAAAAGGAAGAACACATGCAGCCTTTCTAAAGCTGAAAGAACTGAAACAAAAAATTCAAGCCTCAAGTTGCAATACTGAAGGATTCTATGGGCGGAATACTTTTTTTTTTTTTTAACTTCTATCAAGTATTTACTGCATAAAGAACTCATTCAAATGTATAAAGAAACCATTAAGACAATAAATGAACAAAGTACACGGAGAAGTCACACAAAATCAAGTACTAAATTATGAATTAAAATATGGAAAAATGTTCATTCTTGCTAGAAATCAAAGAAAAACAAATTAAAGTGACTTTGAGTTTTCCTTTATACTTACTAAACTAGCAACAACAGTATTTAACCCCCTCCACACAAAGGTGCAGATTTTCAGCGACACTGATATGCTCGAATGGTGACATTAAAATACTACAGTTCTTTGAGAAAGCAATAAGGCAAACATATTAAGAATCTGAAAATTGATCATATTAGTCACTTAATAATCCCATCCTCAGGAATTTATTCTAATAATATTGAAAACAACTTAAGTATTCAGAAATATGGAGACAGTTTGAGTTGTAATATATGCGTATGATATAATATGATTCAAATAATTATCAAAACTAAGTATAATTAAAGAGATAATATCAAATAAAAAATTAATCAAATAAAAGTGCAGGTATTTTAATACTGCAATCATGTGAACAAAAAAGGGAAAATAATACAAAAATTAAAATTCTGAAGTCATTAGATTAGAACAGTGAGTATTATGGGTAATTTTTTCTTTTAGCAAATTTTTCCCTATGTTTTCAATTAAAAAAATTAAAAAAAAAAGATTGGTTATCATTTTAAAAAGCTACTGTCTTTCAAAAAAACTCTACTCTTTTCCATTAGTAAATTACACGTCAGTTTTTAAGTTGAGAAATACAGCAAAAATACCACAGGTATTTTCTAAAATCTAAATATTCCTCTATTTGGACCGTAACTGGCAATGTATGAAGACACATTGTCACCTGTGCCGTTCTAGTAACAGACAGCCACTGCCATCTCTTGTTGACACAAACTACAGGATACTTAGGTATGAGTAAGTAAAATTGTAAACTTTCAATTTACAGCTTTGTGTGTTTAGATTTTTTAATGCATCACAATATAAAACTTATAATTTTCTGTGTCATACTAAGAATTAATTTTAATGTTTTCAAGTAAAATATTGCTAATATACTGAAAATGCTCTACTGAAGCGTACTGCTTTTCATATTGAGTTTATATTAGATTAACCACAAACAAAACTCCTTTAGTTTACATATTTTAAAATTCTGAGTTAGAAGCTGCAAGCAGGCAACCACCTTTAATAGAAAGTCAATCCATAAAAATGAAAAAAACTCTTATGAAATTTTTATTTTTTTTCCTTTTGAAACTATATTTGAATAAATGAAGAGGGATTTGAACTTTTCTACAGACTGACTACATATTACTTTCCTATATGAAGCATTAATTACACATGACATTTACTATGTTGTCATAAACTGTTTTCAAAATTATTCTAAAGAGGGATAGGGAACTTTCAATAGTCTATCTCAGTTAAAACGTTTGAGAATAACGGTTATTAAATATTTAGAGCAGAAGAGATTAACTGGAAATGCAGGGCAGCTATCTCAAAGTCTATAAATATCACATGAAAGAGCAAACAACTAAAAAAACGATGTCACAGGAATCAATGCCCTATAAAGAGATATAACGAAAGCAGTAAAAGATGGAGAAATATATTTTTAATTGAAGACTCATTCTTTAGTTTAAATTTAAAATATTATGCTATTTAGTAACTTGGTAAAAAGTGGTCAACTGTGTTGATGAAATTACCAGGAAGAGATCTCGTAGCTGCCAAAATACAAGCCATTGAAGCTGTCCTCTGCTCCAATGGTACAGTAGAGGTAAATTAACTTAAACGTTTAGTCTTTTGCTTATATCCTGTTAGTGGTAGCAGTAATACTCTGGTTCACTTACAAATATTTATTATAAAAAATATTAGTTTTCGAGATCTAAACAAATGTACCTATTACTAGATGAGTGCAGTCTTTTCAAAGAAATATTCTTAATAAAAATAAACTCTCCAAAACACAAAGAGTTAAATGATAGCTGTTTAAAACATAGTTAACAAAAGAATTTCAATACAACATAGAGCCACCAGCAAGTCAAAATAGCACTAAATTACATTCAATTTTGTGAAACTGAAGTCACAAGTAGCTCCACACACTGTTTTTCTTTCATTAGAAAATTTGTTCAACTGTTCACAAGAAAAGACTTTGAAGAGAGATCAAATTCAGAAACAACATGAAACATCCTAAAAGAACATTCGATAATACAGCAAAGAACTGAACACCCTTAAAGCCATTTACAATGTCTAGCAGATGAACTGGACCCTGTAGAAATTATAAGTATGAATATTTTTCTTTATGTGGGGTGAGGGTGGTGGGGAAACCAGGACAATCTTAACATGTCTGAATTACATCATCCTCTCCCTTCACTTCATCTAATGATATATATTCACAGCTGAAAGCCTGTTCTTTAGATTCTTCTTTCTCTTCTTGACTCCTAAGGTTTGGGGTTTTTAAGTCCCATCTTTTCTGGGAGAAGAGAGTTCTTTGTCAATGTCACTGACCAAGCTTATGATATAAAAACCTTCTCCACATTCAACGTTTAATGTGAAAAATGGTGGCTGGAACTTTTGAAGGGAAATACTGTATACAGTATCCGGCCTAGCAGGTTTTGTTTCTACTGCTTCACCTCTCTTCATCAAAGTTGAAAGTCTCTGTCCATCCTTCTTTAATGCAGAATAGAGAGGGGGTAGTTGCATTACATTCCCAGTAAATTTCGGTACAATGCCTTCAATGTCGTCTCGTGTTACGGTATCATAAGGTTTTTCTTCTGTTGCTTTCCCTGTAGAATCTAGTGTATCAGTAGCTTTTCCCAGTTCTCCAGTGACAATGTGCCTCTTGATCCCTGACAGCATACTGGTAAACATTTTTGTTCCCCTTCCAACTACAACCACCAGAACTCCTTTGGCTGCACTGTGTAGAGTTCCTCCATGCTCAATTTTGAAAGTCTGCTTTTTCCTCTTGTTGCATTTTGGAGGAGGCATTCCAGCTTTCAAAGTAGCAACAGCCCACTTCTGTTGCAATCTGAAATCTGGTGAACTACAGATAACTATGTTGTTTTAAATTGCCATTTAATGGGTACTAACTCATAGTGACCTCATAGCGACTTCATCTGTGCAGAGTAGAACTGCTCCACAGGGTTTTCAAGGCTGTGACTTTTCAGAAGAAGTGCATCAGGCCTGTATTCTGAGAGGCCTCTGGGTGAGTTCCAACTCCCGACCTTTCTGCTACAAGTTAAGTGCTTAACCATTTGCCCCAGCCAAGAAAATCTGTGGAGCATAGATCCACTCTGAAGCACATGGAGTCACCATGAGTCACAATCCCTCTATGGGCAAAATATTGAATGAAGCAAGAAGCATCAAAATAAGATTGTCTTCATCATCTAGTGCTGCTATAACAGAAATACCACAAGTGGATGGCTTTAACAAAGAGAAGTTTATTCTCTCACAGTCCAGTAGGCTACAAGTCCAAATT